ATCAAGACAGAAATTAAATAAGAGATTATTACATATACTGTAGTAGAAACAGATTTCCTTGTCTTGGCTTCACTCAAGGAGGTAGAAAAATAATTTTTATACCTCCTTGGCTCACTGGTGTATTTTTTGACGCAAACTAGGTCAAATACACTATTCACACATTTTCACGCAACACAATCACGCCACATCAGCGGTCTTCATTGTTGTGTGATTGGAGGTTCGAATTTTTAATGTAATTTATACCTTGATCTATAAAAAAATGAAACCATGATGGTAGACCTAGAGTACCAGTAGGCGATTTTTTAATTACCAAAACACACAGCAATTGCTGAATGCCAAGTGTAGGCTAGGTAGGACCAGACCCAGTGCCATTTGACAGCACTACACCTAAAACCCTGGCTACTCTAACATGTAAAATTTCTGACCCTTTCGAGGCCAGTTATATCTACCGGGTAAATTTTAGGTACGTCCCCGCACTACAGGGACGCAACTATGTGTACGTTCCCGGCTCAGTTGCGGCTAGTACCTTGCTATAACCTGGGACCGGGAGTGGGGGGGTGGGGGGACTACAATTGACAAGTACATTAGTATAAGAGAACAATTAATATACAGTTTTAAATCATTCTCGTTGGCTTTTTGTTCGTATGGTCAGCAGTTTTAATGTATAATGTTATTTTATTTTGTTGATTTTTAAAATATTTTATTGTACAGTAGAACCCCTCATTTACGAACCCCGATTTTACGAATTCCCGATTTTAGGAACGTAAAATCATGTAATTGTTGTCATAAATAAAGTTCCTATTTCATGAACAAAACACACACCCCTGTCTCTTATACACATCTAGATGTGTATAAGAGACAGCCATAGATCTGCTGCAGAAAGGGAAAGATTACTTTACATACTGAAAGGTTAGTTGCAGTTTTACTGCTGTCTCTTATACACATCTAGATGTGTATAAGAGACAGTCTTTGAAGTGGTCAAAGTTTTAACTTTTATTTATTTTTATTTATTTAAAAATAAACTTGCACTAAGCCCTACAAAATTTAATGTTCTAGCTATTGACAGAAGGAAATCTCCATCTTCTAATGGTCAAGTTATAGTACTGGTTATGCACTTAAAGTTCCTTTGAGTTTTAATATCCCATGACCTCTCTTGGTCAAAACAAGTTCACAAAGTCTCAAAAACGTGCAATAAAAAATTGGGTGTTGGTAGGGCAATAGCTATAAAAGAGTTGTTATGCACCCGTTCTTTAAAATTATACCACTGTCCTCCCTCGTCTTCAGTGCTTTATGATGTGTGGTAGATGAATGAGCAAATTTAAAGAAGAGTATCCCGGTTGATTGTACATTAAAGTATTATTATTTTATTGTCTTTTCCTTGTCTTTTTTATATAAGTCTTGATGTTATTTTATATCAAATAAATTCAATTGAACAAGTCATCTGAGGAAAGACTAGGCACTTTTGATATTATGACCACTAATGCTATTAGAGATTATTTAAGTTACTGTTCTCTTTAATTGTCTGCAATATTTTGCTTTATTATCAACATTCTATTATTTACAAGTCACACCAAAGGTGGACTTGAAAACGTTGACTCGGGCATTATGACTATGTGTTTTATACGTGATGTACAAAAATAAAATTTACAACACAAATTTGTTAATATTATAATAATTATTGAATGCGCATCAATCAAAATCATTTCCAATCATACTGGTACCAATTTCTAATTAGTTCTATTTAAATTATGTCTCATAACTTATATGTATTCAAACAAATGTTCAAAGAATTGCCTTATTATTCCATTAATTTATATCTCTGCTTGTTTACCTTTGTAATTTCTTTTAAGCATAATACTGTCAGCTAGCTCCTGCAGCACCTTCAAAATTAAATCACAAATTACTAGGCATATCATGCTCCCACCTTGGGCTAGTATCCCTTGTAGGCTGACAATCATACAAGTCATACACCTCAGGTGGCACTGCAAATAGAATCCAATACTACAATAATATCACAAGACCAATTAATATATGTCTATACTCTTCTACTTTATCCATATTCAAGGTAAGTATTTATACCACATATTATTTTTTTTTATTTATTTATTTTTCTGATTTTTCTTAATTCTTATTAGTAGTAGTATTTGTTTATCTTTCTCAAGTTGTTGACATTCTTCACCTCTATTTATAAATTTCATTGTAGGTCTGTTGGTGTTTGTTAGTTTTAATTATAGTATCTCTAGGGTTTTTATGCATTATTATGTTTATATACTTCTATTTTTGTATTTAAGTGGAGCAAGCTGTTTTTGACATGACGTGTTGACTCGTATCCGTCACTGTCTTGTTAGAAGTTTATTAAATACAAAAATAAAATAAAATAATTTATTTATGTAACATTCATCTCTTTAAGCTTCAATATTCATGAACCGAGCACTGATGGTATAGTGATATCTAAGCTATGTCGTATCAAACCTAATGATACATGGACAGTCATTTCTCAAGAAGGTAGGTACAAATGATTTAAATATATTGGAATATGTTTGAAATATAGATTATAATACAAGTAATTAATTTTTCAAGAAATTTGTGTTACATCAGATTGTGTTCATTGATGTAAATCTATTCCTAAAATATACACATAATAACATACTAAAAGTCCAGAAAAATCTAATCAGGGTAACATTGTTCATTATAAAGATATTTAATGGGTTAAAATCAAACGCTTTATCGCACAACTACTGTGCTGAAGGGTATAAACGCATGCCGTTGCCAAGTTGTTGCTAACGAAAAAATGTGAATTATAGGGTAATACGCCCGTGCAAAATCCAAAGTTGGGGAACACATTGGTTTGTCGCATCAAAGGATCTGTTGCCGAGTGATCTCCTTCTCAATAATACCTCCATAATGGTAAAACTACACATTTGATAAAATATATTAAGTCAATATATGTTGTACTTTGCCAAACTTAAAATTATAATTTTTTTCATGAATACTGGTGAGAAATATTTAGCATTCGCAGTTTAATTTTATGTCAGTTATGTTGCAATACTCTCATTGATAAAGCTAACATATAAATTTGTGTATAAGTTTGTATTAATAATAATGTAATTTTCTTTATTATAGGACAAGCAAAACAGCTTCATGAACAAGCACTTGTGGAATCGTTTGTAGAGACATCGCTAAAACGCAATCCCTCCAAAGCAACTGCAAAGGTTTTTTTTCCCCTAAATTATACAGTAAACCGTAATTAAACTGTTATCAGAGAGTAGGATACCGCAGTAACAGTATGTAATGCGTCTCAATTTAATACCAAAATATAATCTATAAATGTTGCATAAAGTATAATGTTTATTATATACCACATACATAGATTCTAGGCATCTGATTGGTTAAAAAGCTGGCAAATTGAAAGTACTGTTTCGCATTGGATATAAATTTTTTGCCCTGTCGCGGGATATGCAATCGCAGGCTGCGTTGCTATGTAATTCATGAGACGCACGAACGGTAATGGAGACGTGACCTCTACGACGCTGAGAGAGATTGGCCCTTTGACCGCCAACTATTTTAATTACTAATGTATAAGGGGTATATAAAACAAATATTGACTGCTCTAGATTCGGAAAAAGGTGAAATCTATAGCCCCTCGAAGATGTGGAGACCTAGCATATCTACGTTCTCCACATCAACTCGGAGCCATAGATTTCACCATTCCCTCATGAGCAGTCAATATTTGTATACTATAACAAATAGTCATGTATACTAATTTTCTTTTTAAAATAACTAAACCAACTGACATTTATGTTTTTCATTGATAAGGAAACCACTGACGATGCAAGTCTTGATTCATCAACAGGTATATTGTAATTCTCATCAAATCAAATTCTCATTGAATTTGCTGCATAGGTTTATTTAAACAAATAAATAATAATAACAGTGCTTAAATAAGAACATGATGTTATACTTGTATCAGGTGTATCACTTCAATAAAATCTTCCTTTTTCAGTTGTATGAAAGAAAGTGTCCGTTGGGATGCAAACCTACAAACTCTTGCTATTAAGGCGAGTATCATACCACTAGACCACAGAGACGATATGGTATATACGCAGATCTAACCCTCAGGCACTTTCTCTCATAGTTCAAAATTTGGAAAAAGTAAAATGATGATGTACATCTGTAAACTCTACTGTATATTAAAAATTAAAATATCATTGGTATTTTTTTTTTTGGAAACACATTTTTTACTCAATTACACGAAAGTAGCATTTTCCTAGTTAAGTCATAATTTTCTGTTGGAGGGCAGCATAATATGTTATAGGCACAAATACAAACCCTAGGAACTTCTCTAATAAAACTGGTCCTAATGAATTTTATGATTTTAAGCATTCTGATAGTCTACCTCCAACTGTGTGTGAGGATTACAGTCAGTTTTATGAAAGAAGGTGCCATGGAGTTTTTATTTGCACCTATAATAACATATAACTGTCGATCTCTATGGTCTAATACTATGATACCTTGATAGCAAGAGGTTGTGAGTTTGAATCCTGCTATAGGGCAGTGGTGGCGCCAGGATCTGCCCGACAGAGGGGCTAAAGGCCCCGACAGGGGGGGGGGGCTAGGGGAGCGAATCGAGTCTCACTTGGCTGGGGACTGCCTAGGGCCCCCGGTGGCGGTCCAGGGGGTGAAGCCCCCTGGAAGCCACGAATATCTGATGAATTATGGTGAATCTTTATTACTTATTTCATAGGCATCGAGTTACTATGACTTCATGTAGACTATGCTTTCTAATGTTGAAATCAGCTTCCAAAACCAAAACATTTTGAATAAAGCTATAGCCAGCCCTGAAAATGGATGGCGCTGAGCGTGCCGCCTATGCCGTCTGTGCAGAGCAGTTTATAGCCCCAGCCCCCCTCTGCCCCCCCTCTGGCGCCACCACTGCTATAGGGACACTTTTTTTGAAAAGGAATGACTCGATGTATAAGCATGCAGATCTAACCCTCGTGAGTTTTATATTTTTAACATATTGTTTCTTAATTTTCCAGATGTAACCATTTCTATGAAACACATGGATATTCAAGGTACGTTTACTTCAAGTTCTTGTATTTTGTTATATTTCCAGGTGGAGTGGGAGTGGCAGGGCAATGTCACCAAACGAGAGTATAAGTGGCCGTGGTTGGGGCGTGGCTCAAAATTTCTTGGAAGTTGTCCGGGGTGCTATAGAGCCCTCAGAAACTAAGGCCTAGTTCAGACTGGGTGGATAAACCCGGCTCAACTCACCGGGTTTATCGACCTGCCAGTCTGAACTAGGTGGCTTATCTCAAGCCGGCTGTGTTCCTATAGTAACTAGGCTTGGCGCACCATCATGTTTAACTTTTCTAAGCCGGGCTTTAATCGTTGCGGGGGGTCTTGCATTGACTTCGGGTGACGAAATGACCAATCAGCATTGAATTACATACGCTGTGTGCGAGCGTGCGTTTCACGAGCAATGTTTTGAAACACGTTTCCTGGTTACGGTTCATTATTATGCAAATTCTCTGAATGCCCGGCAAAGTTAAGCCGGGTTTAACATTGAGCCAGGCTTAACTCAAGTCTGGCTTATCTCTAAGTCTGAACGTAGCCAGCTATGTCTATGTTCTCCCTGACTGGAGCCCACACCCCTCCCACCTGATGACCCCGGTGGTGCCACCCCTGATACTGAATTCAATCAAACCTGCACATAAATGCTGTAGCTTAATATGCTTGCCTTCCAATCCCATGGTCCTTGGTTCATTTCCTGTCATGGTAACAGGACTCCACTCCCTAATATAAAACTCATTTTGAGAATTAAGTTTATGTAAACCATTTTATTTATGTTTGTCTTGTGAATTGGTTGGCACTTAATGACAGGTTTGCTATTGGCATATCGTTGGCCTTGTGCCTATACTAAAAACAGCTGACTAAGTTTCATTTTAACATGTATCAGTAACAAATTCATGTCAACAAAACCCATCACATTTCACTGATGAAACAATGGAGAGTAGTCATAAAGCTCCTCTGAACGATATTTTTATTTTAGGATTTCATTAGGCCTTTTTTTTTTTTATTTGCACAGTATTGATAAAGGTCTAATTAAATAACATTCAGTATGTCACTGCAGTGATATAATAATTTTCTGTTTTTGTATACAATAGTTTAGATTTCAATATTTAATGAAATAAAACATATTATATTTCCAAAAATTTTCAAGTGGAGGCTGGTCAGGTTGCTTAAAAGGGAACTTTTTTAATGACATTATTACAATAGATGCATTCTATGGCTATAAGCCTAAAAGCATTATCTCAAGATATAATATACATCACATGAGAGACTTTTACATAAAATCATAATACATTGCCTATATAGGGTATATTCAGATATTTTTAAAATCAATTGGTAATCAATTGTTGTAGTTGAAGATTGACTATACAAAATGAGCAAAACAAGTTGTTTACAACTGCAGATCAAATTATTTAAATAATCATTTTCCTTTTAGAAACGTCAACTGCAACTGACATAGAGATGTCCATAAGGCTAGGTAGGTTCCTGATACGTTTCATAAAATTAGTTTATACTCTGTGTGACTTTTCTTATTAAATCTAGCATATGTATATTATTGTATGTTACCATAATAATTTCTTTTCGAATGTCAAGTAAACAAATGATAGTAAAAGCTTAGTTTATTCGGTATTACAGCACATGGTTTTGATATACATCATTCAAAAAGATATTAAGTAAGCCAATTTTATTAGGAATCTCTCTAATATAATTTCCCCTTTACCATAATGATCAAATTATTTGAATAATTATTTTCCTTTTAGGAACGTCCACTGCAACTGACATAGAGCCGTCTATAACGTCAGGTAGGTTCCTAGATATGTTTGATAGAATTAGTTTATACTTTGACTTTTCTATTAAATCTAGCTGGTATATTATATATTATTGTATATTACCATAGTCATTTTCTTTTGTTTAGCATGTCAAATAAACACATAACCATAAAAGTTTAAAAGTTTATAAAGTAAGTTCATACGCAGTCTGATTTTCTATTAAATCTAGCTTGTATATTGTTGTATGTTACCATAGTCATTTTCTCTTAGCGCGTAAGTATACACATACTGTATTTGTTAGAATAAGCGCCCCAGGGTGTTTATTGTTGAGAATTTTAATTTTAAGGGGGCGTTTATTGGAGGGGGTGTTTAATCCAATTGAGGCTCAGGAGGAAGAGATTATTCGATGGGGGAGTTTATTCAAAGCGGGGCATTTATACAGTAATAATAAATCAAAGTTCATTCAGTATACAGCATATGGTTTTGTTATAAAGTATTCAAAAGTCAAAAGGCAAAAAGCCAATTTTGTTAAGAACCTCTTTAATAGAATTTCCCCTTTACATTAGTGAGCAAATTATTTACTACTTACTACTTACATTACTGCCGGTCCGCTAGGTATTTGGATGACTATCCTGCCTTGGCTGCTTTGCTTATGTCTTGGATTGCTTTCCTCCAATCATGTCTGCTTTCTGCAATTCTTTGAATTGTATCTACATCTTTTAAATTATTTAAATAATTATTATATTATTATTATATTACAATAATTTTTAAAATTTGAAGAATTATTTTCCTTTTAGAAACGCCGACTGCAACTGACATAGAGCAAATTATAATGTCAGGTAGGTTCCTAGATATATTTGATAAAATTAGTTTATACTCTGTCTGACTTTTCTATTAAATCTAGCTTATATTATTATATGTTACCATATTAATTTTCTTTTAGAATGTCAACTAAACACATAATAGTAAAATTTTATTTTATTTAGTGTTACAGCACCTGGTTTTGATATACATAATTCAAAAAGATATTAAGTAAGCCAATTTCATTAAGAACCGCCTAAATATAATTTTCCCTTTAAGCCAATATAGTCAAATTATTTAAATAATTATTTATTATTTTTATAATTTATTATTTTCCTTTTAGAAACATCAACTGCAACTTTCATGGAGAAGTCTGTAAGGCCAGGTTGGTTCCTAGATATGTTTGATGAAATTAGTTTTTATTTGAATCTATTCTATTGAATCTAGCTTGTGTATTATCGTATGTTACCATAGTCATTTTCTCTTTTTTAGCATGTCAAGTAAACACAATATTAAAAGTTCAAGTTTATTCAGTATTGATGAAATTAGTTTATACTCTGTCTAATTTTCTATTAAATCTAGGTTGTATATTATTGTATGTTACCATAGTCATTTTCTCTCAGCATGTATAAGTAAACACATACTGTATTTGTTAGTAAAAGCACCCCACAGCTTTTATTGTTAAGAACTATTTTTGAGGGGTGTTTATTTGAGGGAAGCATTTATTTCAAAGGAGGCTATGGAGGGGGAAATTATTTGAGGGAGGACGTTTAGTCTAACCGGGGCGTTTCTACGAATAAATACAGTAATAATATAAGTCAAAATTCATTCAGTAATCAGCATATGGTTTTGTTATACAGTATTAAAAAATTATCAAGCAAAAAGCCAATTTTAATAAGAATCTCTTCAATATAATTTTCCCTTTACGATAGTGATGAAATTATTTAAATAATTATTTTCCTTTTAGAAACGTCAACTGCAACTGACATAGAGCCATCTATAATATCAGGTAGGTTCCCAGATATGGTTGATAAAATCAGTTTATACTCTGTCTGACTTAGTCAGACAGAGTATGAACTAATTTTATCAAACATATATCTAGTTTTCTAATAAATCCAGCTTATATCAGTGTATGTTACTATAGTCATTTTCTCTTTTAGCATGTCAAGTAAACACATGATAGTAAAAGTTTATTCAATATTAGCCGATTGTTTTGTATATACAGCCATTATTTTTAAAGATTCGCCTTATGTAAATTTGCCTTTCAGTAACACCAACTACTTTCATGGAGAGGTTGCCAGGTGTGTATGGTTACAGTTGCCATACATTTATTAATGAGAATTATTTTTGAGGGGCATTTATTTGAGGGAAGCATTTAATCCAATAGAGGCTCAGGAGGGAGAGATTATTCAAGGGGGAGTTTATTTAAAGTGGGGTGTTTATTTGAATAATACAGTAATAATATAAGTCAAAGGTCATTCAGTATACAGCATGGTTTTGATATACAGTATTCAAAAGTTATCAAGCAAAAAGCCAATTTTGTAATAAGAACCTCTTTAATGTAATCTCCCCTTTATGATAGTGATCAAATTATTTAGTACATACTTACTACTTACATTACTGCCGGTCCGCCAGATATTCGGATGACTTTCCCACCTCGGCTGCTTTGCTTATATCTTGGATTGCTTCCCTCCAATCATGTCTGGTTTCTGCAATTCTTTGAATTGTTTCTACGTCTTTTAAATTATTTAAATAATTATAATTATTATATTATTATATTACAATAATTTTTAAAATTTGATTAATTATTTTCCTTTTAGAAATGCCAACTGCAACTGACATAGAGCCATCCATAATGCCTGGTAGGTTCCAAGATATGTTTGATAAAATTAGTTTAAATTCTGTCTAACTTTTCTATTAAGTCTATATGTATATTATTGTATGTTACCATAGTAATTTTTTCTTAGCATGTCAAGTGAAAATGTACTAATAAAAGTTGATGTTTATTACAAATAGCTTTCTTTTGCACACAGAATAATTTATCTGTAAAACTAGGGTATGTGTTACACCATGTTTGATTACAATATGTTATGTACGGTTAGATTAATAATTTGTATACTGCCAACAGAATAGAAGTTGGTAAAAATGTCTTAGTTTTTATATACTACTGACGTATTTGCAAATCTTTTTTGTAACCATGTTTTTAACCATTTGGAGATGTTAATTTATTCCATATTTACTAATTCAATTAGTCTATCCAAACATTTACGTGAATAAAATAGTTTGCTATTGTTTGTCAAATAAAATAAAGGATGAGACATTGGAGATTTTTAAAAAATCATTTATATACTGAATAAAAAGGTAGTAGAACCTAAAATTCAACCTTGTGGTTTTCCACAGTTTATTTCTGTGGTATTCAAGTTTATAGTCCCACAAATGTGGTAATGTTCTAACTTTTGTAAAAGAACTTTGTGATTTATCGTGTCAAATGCTTTAGAGAGATCAACAAATATACCAAACATGTACACGCTTTGATCAAAAGCATTTAAATCAGTAATTGCCATGTAAATAGCACAGTTTTCTTGAAAGCCATACTGATGTTTATTAAGAATTAAATTTTCTTTTAATATATTGGAACAATCATCTGTTGTATAAAATTCTTTAAAGTACTTTTGAGGTAACAGGTAGAATTGAAATTGGTCCTAACATTGCACTTTTCTCCAGACTTAAAAACTGGAACAACTCTCACCATTTTACACAAATTAGCAGGAAAAATACCACTTTTCATAGATAAATTAAAATAAATGGTACTGGTACTGGTACTTGTAGCCGTCTGATTTCAGACATTCGGCAGCCATAAACATTACTGTATGTTGACGTTAAAAGACTGCATATATATATAAAGGATTGGCTATAACAGAACATATATGTTTTAGTGTGATAGTACTGACATCATCAAACCCTCTGTATGAATTCTTCATTTTACTAACAATTTTTCAATATTTCATGTTCATTCGTGGGACTTCTATAATTACCCTGCATAAAATCTTAATTGATATATACCTAACATGCATTGATGTTTTGTATCGCCACTGTTGTGTAAGTGCCCAGTGGTGGTGCTGCCATATTTACCTGACGTGGGGTCCAAGGTCCCCCCCCCCCTCCACACCAAGGTGTAGGCAGGCTTAAAAATCCCTCAAAAAATATGACAATTTAGGGGTTTCAAAGGCTTATTTAATTGTTTTTGGGGTCCACTATATGCAGAAAATGTACATGTACATTTTTTTTCTCCCCGACGAATTGTGATGTTTCTCCCCAACGGGGCCCCCAGCCTCCCCACTAGTGCCACCCCTGTAAGTGCTGCTGATGTATAAGTGCTACTCATATATAAAGCACCGACACTCATGCCCTTCCACCAGTTTCAAGAACAGCTGTCAAGTTAGTACTAGAATATATTAAACCTAATTTATTACTTACATTACAGACCACATCATCATTTACAAGTATACCTTGTAAGCCTAAAACATATTGGAATACCTCACTGTGTTTTACATGATCAAATATATCACTATCAAATCGTGAAGAATTTTCTTTAAGTCTAGTTAGTAAGCATCTATCTGTCTTTACAATATAATCACTATTACGACCTGGACATTTAAAATGATTGGCAACAGAACTTCTATACTCTAAAGGGGTTTGATCTTTAGTAGATATAAAATGAGAAATGTTTTTATACTACCATAAAGTTATGAATTTTACCTCTATAATTAAATGTTTTTTTACTTTATTTAAACATCTACATAAAGTGAACTTCCCTGGTTTTCCTGAATAAGGCAATCTCATAAATTTTCTAATGTTACAAAGCTCTGCTTGAAGTTTATCAGGAGTACACAATCTGTGGGCTCTAGAAACTAATTAACTACGAATCCAGGAGATTTATGTTTCCATGGAGCAAAGCTATCATAAAGGACATAATTTACCTGTATGTGTATTTTTACGATATATACTCATGTAAATCCAGAAAATGTACTATGTCACTGTTTCCAAATGATTCGAATGTAAAATGTATCTGTCTATGAAAATCATTAAAGTGATGTAGATTATGGTCATGATGACATCACATCATGACCATTTATAGGCACATCATGACTATATATGGGCATATGACAGATTTTTGTCAAACAAAATCTGATAGTTGGTGGACAGAGCTTTAGCTGCTCACCAAACATCAATTACCAATGACTCAGATATTAATTTTCAAAAATGCTTTTATACTTGATAAAGATTTGTCTGAACAATTTGAAGATGTACAAGAAATTGAAGATGTACACCACAGAAAGGAACATGTTAAAATGTCAACGAGTTTAAGAACACAAGAGGAAGACCAGAAGAAGGAAATAGATAAGATGAATAGAGAGCTAGCACTTCCAGAGGACCTCGGTGAAAGGGTGCTTGAATATACGTCAACGAAAAAACCCGGCAAAGGAAATGAGCTATCTGTAAAGATATACGATTTTGCAGGCCAGCAGGTTTATGCTTCAACACATCAGGTATTTTATGACTTTACAATTAGGCAGATAGCTGATTTCACTGCCAGTTACTGATCAATACCAGTTTGAGACAAACAAGCCCTGACAGTGGTGGCGCCAGGATTTGCCCGACGGGGGGTGCCAAGGTTCCCGACGAGGGGACCGATGCCCTGACGAGAGGTCAGATTTCCCCGACGAGAGGTCAGCCCACGAAAGCAAAGTGGGCGTGGCCGAGCGTCAATTAAAATGTCTCAAAAGTGGTCCTGGGGGCGAAGCCCCGAAAAGGCTTATTTAATAAATTTTTATAGTCTATTAATATGTAGAAAATACATATAATTTTTTTTCTCCCCAACGAATTGTGCTTTTTCTCCCCGATGGGAGGGCCAGCTCTCCCCGACGGGGAGCCTTGGCCCGGTGGCGCCACCTCTGAGCTCTGATAGCAGGTTCATTTGCAATAAGTGGCAGAGGTGTCACAAAATAGACAATTACAGTGATTAATTTGAAAAAAATACTAAACTACAGGAATGCATTAAATATTTAAAAGTCTTTAATTAAGAAACAATATTTCCTTTGTGATAAAATAACTATATTTTTGTTTCAGTGTCCCATATTATTTATTCTAGAAATAATGCAATACATTAATACTATACATCAAAAAATATACAAGTCAGTTACAAGTCAGCTAGGATATTGGTATTCTATGAGTATTATTACCTGAATGAACAAGGCGAAATTAGGTATATTACATAACGCAATATTTTTATGTCCTTTAGTCGAGCAAATCAATATATAGTACTTTCGAGGTAAATTCCAATAAGAAAACTGGTCTTCGCTTCATCCAGTGTTCAGTAAGCAAAACAGCTGTCTGAATTTTAATTAATATTGTAAGTTGTAAACTGTGAAACTTTATTGCAATCAACAATACCACTGATTGGAGTTTAACAAAAATGAGTAGTTTTGATATCCTTAATCTGATTGGAAAAAAAAAACAAAAACCTCAAAACCACATCAACCAGCAACGAGGAGTTTGACTGCAGGGGAAAGTACCATTCATGATAAAGACCAAGATTAATAATAAATGTTTTTGAACGATTAGTTTTAACTTTTGGAATACAGAATTCGCAGACTCTTTTAAGGTTATATGGGACAGAAGGAGTTTCTGGTAATAAATAATTCAATCTACGATTTTTATTTTTTATTTTAACAAAGAATTCCCTGCACAGTCGAACTCAATGTTCTTCTAAGGCAGAGAACCCAAGTACACCACAGGCACACTCATAACTTTCTCCTGGAAGGATACATTTCAAAGCTTTTCTCTTGATTTGTTCCAGTTGTTGGCTCTGTTGTTTAGTAATATTGGTTCCTCAAACTGGGGCTGCATATTCCAATATTGGTCTTATGATACTTATATGGAATTGAACAAGTACCGGAGTACTTAAAACCACTCTGTGGACCCTGTTTGAGGAAGTGCATTCTAGTATTACTTTATTAATCCTGTCGCTTATACACATCTAGATGTGTATAAGAGACAGGAACAATTTGAAGATGTACATATATATATCTAATTTATTACAACAATCCAACAAGAATGAAGTTTGTACTTTACAGACGTTAATATTTCTTATAATGATTTAATGTTTCTTCATCTGATACTTTTTCAGGTATTTTTGGCATCAAAAGCTGTTTATATTCTTGCATTCAATCTTTTGGATGACTTAGATTCAAATCTCAAACATGAGCATGTCCAATACAGTGATCAGGTAAAGTAATTCCAATTCAATTTAATTATACTAAATTCAATCCTTCCATGACTCTTTCAGTGGTCGTATGATCTTGTCATTCATTTTTTTAAACTAGTGATTATTCATAAATGTAACAAAAAGACAGTAACTCCGAAAAGAGACAGAGACATTTTGAGATTCAACGTTTCGATCTATTTGATCATTTTCAAGAATACTGGTGAGAAAATCTGACCGATCCATATATATCTACCATGTTTACAGAAGTATAACAGAAAGCAAATGAAAACTGACCAATGAGATTAAAATCAAAGTTATAACTAGTCAATTAAAAATGAGGTAGTTAAAAATGAGGTGTGTCTTATATTAAGTATATCACTTATTATTGTGAATAAACAATGAATAATCAACAATTATTCAACAATAGTATAAAAGCCTGGGAATGCTGGCTGAATGAAAGTCTCATGACATGAATTTACCTTGAATCGGTCAGGGTTAAGGGGGCTATTCAGCCCATTATAAACCCATGAGCTTGTTTATTTCTTTTTTGAAGCTTAGTAGATTTTGAGCAGATACTGCACTCTGTGGTATTTGTTCCAGTCATTTATAACTCTCTGGCTGAAGAAGAATTTCCTACTGTCCAAGTTTGATTTTTCTTTCTTCATCTTGTAAGAATGCCCTCTTTTTTTTTGTATTCAGTTTGCTTAAACATTTTTAAGATATTTGAGGTGTTCAAGAAGGTTTTCCCTGTCCGGAAGCCATGCTTTGAATCACTAATAAGACTATGGTTATCTAAATGCTCAATGAGATGATCTCGAATAATGATTTCCAGTACTTCCCTATCACAGATGTTAGACTTATTGGTTTATAGTTTTCAGGCTTTGACCGTGCACCTTTTGGAGTTATGTATGCTGTTCGCCAATCTTTAGGTACATAGCTTTCAAATATCAAAAAAGCAAGAGGATAACATAACTGCTTTGAAGCTTCCTTTAAAATTCTGGGCGAAATGCCATCAGGTCCTGATGTTTTAGTCGGGTCTAGTGCATCAAGTTTCAATTTAACACAATCTTTGTTAATACTGATATCATAGAACGTCTCGTTTGCTTCTCCTTTAAACTTTTGGCTCACATGTGGTACCGTGCCCTGTTCTTCTGTAAAAACAGAAGCAAAGTATTCGTTCAGACATTAGCAGTTTCTTGACCTTGTGGTATTGCTTCTCCTGTTTCCTTCTTAAGTGGTCCAATGGCATCTTTGATTTTCTGCTTGGAGCAGACATAAGCATAAAAGCTTTTGGAGTCTTCTTTTATGTTCTCTGCCAATTTTTTTTTCAAACATATATTTAGCTTTCCTAATTTCTGATTTGATTTCTTTTTGACATCTCTTGTAGTACTCTTTATTTTTATTAGTTTTGTGTTTTTGGTATTTTCTCCAAGCTCATTTTTTTTCTTCTTGCGAGTTTCAGTGCTCTTTTAGTAAGTCAGCCTGCCTTCTTCTTCTTTGGTTGTTTTATTGGTACATGTTCTAGAATCAAGTTGTTAAGTGTGGTGTTAATTTTACACCATATCTCTTCTGTTGTGCAATTTTTGTAGTTCTGCTTGCCAGTTGATGTTGTCAAGTTTGGTTCTGATCTGATCATAATTTGCACATTGGTAGTCACGTTTTGTTACTGCTGATCTAGGTTCTATAAGATAATTCATGTCCCACTTAATTAGCATACAGTGGTCACTAGATCCCAGGTGTGCTTGAACTTCAATGCTGTCAATCATATCTGGATTTGATGGGATGACTAGATCAAGAATGGAATCCTTCCTAGTGGGACTGATTACATGCTGTGTCCATGTGTTGTCTAATATTCTTACGACGATCGGTAGTGCATGTGCGATTAGCTTCCTTCATCAGGGAAACTTGAACGGAACGCATCGCGTGTCTCTAGACCTAGAGAAAGCTGGCCACACAGGCTTGGTAGAGGCTATCATACACAGCAGGCTGCTAGCAGTTCTATGCAGCTAGGAGTGGACTAAGCTTACAATTTAAATTTTGTACATGAAAAACAAAAATTAAAAATTTATTAACGTGTATTCATAGGGCCACCCCATCATAGAAAGTTAAATATGAACAATTAATGAATGTGTAGATAGGGCCTCCCCTAACATGCTCAAGTGGCCTACATACAAGTCTATGTCAATCCCAACTCGACGGTGGGTATTTAAATTCTAATGCTTAGGTTATTTTATATACTTTCTTATTTGAATTTAATCAGTGGACCTTTCACTTTCTAAGCCTATTTCACATCAAGCTTCATTCAGGGATGTGCATTAGACCTACTGTTATTATATAAATTATAATGCTTCATAATAAAAGACCATGCGTTTTGTTACAATATTGAATATAAAATTTGTTTTGTAAAATACTATGTAATAAAGTTACTGTAACAGAACATTTCATATGTTTGTTTTCAAGGCTAGATTCAAGATAGTTTCATTATAGGCTATTCATCTGTTGTTTCCCGGCTATTTAGAAAGACTAGGCCAATATACATTATGGCATCCGAATCCAAACCACAAAATTTGTGGTTTGGATTCGGATGCCATAATGTATATTGGCCTAGTCTTTCTAAATAAGAATAAATAGTCTTTCTATAAGAATAATCACTAGTATTAAAAAATGAATGACAAGATTATATTACCACTGAAGATGTATGTGCGTGTTTACATTGTCATCATTAACTTGGTTCTGCTATGGTTCCAATATTTTTATTTTGTTAGAAAATAATTAACATTTTTTAAAACATTTAATTGAATAATAAAAATAATTATTATTATTATCTATATGGATCCAGATTTCACACAATATTAAATATTGTGTGAAATCTGGATCCATATAGATAATAATAATTATTATTTTTATTATTCAATTAAATGTTTTAAAAAATGTTAATTATTTTCTAACAAAATAAAAATATTGGAACCATAGCAGAACCAAGTTAATGATGACAATGTAAACACGCACATACATCTTCAGTGGTAATATAATCTTGTCATTCATTTTTTAATACTAGTGATTATTCTTATTCTTAGCAAAACCCGCCCCTGAAAATTTCTGAGGGTGTGATGCTAAACAAGTATATATTTTTTGGCCTAAGTATTAATGTATTTGTTTTTTGTCACTGAATTTTTAAATGTGTTAGTTAATAAAGGTTGATTATTCATAATATTTCATTAATGTACTGTAATTACACATATATTTTAATGATGCTGAATTGAAATATTGCTTAATTAAAGCTTAAAATTTGTCTTTCTTTTTCCGAATAATTATTTATTTTTGTTTTTAAAATTGTTTAAAACACATAGTTTTGAATGTTTTTCTTTTCACTGATTTAGACTCGCTTCGATAAGGTGAAGATGAAGTTAAAACTAAAGAGTTCATCAAAGACAGTAGAGCTTGAAGAGACAAATCTTGAACGGCTTCATTTTTGGCTGAAGTCAATACATGCAAATGGAAAAGTAAGTGGACAAGCAGCAGGTCAACAGCAACTGTCACCACCTGTATTCATTGTTGGAACACACATGAAAAAATTATCTGGAAACAAAAAAGGAAGAGAAAAGAAGGTTGGTTTTTGTATAAATTATGAATAAACTGCTGAAATTCAGTGAAATTGAGGGGCATTTGGGTAGGATGCTAGCTTCATGAACCTGGGGTCTTGTGTTCAATTCTTGTGTCAGCAGGGTTTCTTCTCATGACAGATCTACCCCACTGCCATAAGACATTTGGTTTTAATAAAGCATCGTTCCATTTTGTATTGGGTGAGTTTCTTGATTTTGGATGCGAATGATTTATTTTACTGTAAAAATTACATTTTAAATACATATCAAAATATATGTTAATGATATTTCTATTAACAATATAGTTTGACAATTAAAACGAATACATTATTGATAGATAATTTTAGTGTTTGGATTATGTTAGTGGTCACACCTGAGGCCACACTCTAGTGGTAGGCAAAACGTTAGTGCTGTATTAACCAATGAAGTTGTAAAAACAAATGAATACAAAGATTTTTATAGCCCAGCGCCAGGCTCCGCATACTTACATGTCATATCATCCATATAGCTTCCGTATTTTTTGTACAACAAAAAAGATAAACAGTATCCCATTCCTGCATATTAAAACAGTACCCCTGGAGTCTATTTAACAGCATTTTAATTCAGAGAGCTTGTTTGTTTTTTAAGGGGTTTTTATTATAGTACCATTGAGGAAGTAGTACATTCAGGTATCTATTAATTTCTATAATGTTTTTATCAAAGTGGCGCACTGGGAGAACACATGAATATTTTAAATCGTGGGTAAAGCAGTCATTAAAAAAATAGTTACCAAGTTAGAGAGCAGCTTAGTTCAGTTGGCTAATCTAGATGTAGCCACTGTTTGTGCGCTGAACCGTGAAGATCTCTAGGTCCCCGGTTTAATTCCCATTGCTGCCTTTCCTTGTGTTTCAGCTGGAGGGCTGAAATACAAGTTACAATAGTGCACCGTCTTTCAGATGAGACATTTAAGCTGTTGGTCTTGTGTTCATATATGGCCCATGTGCACGATAAAGAACGCTGTACACCCTTCGGCAAAGAGTAGTGGAATGTCTCCAGGTGCACTGCCCAATCACCACCAGAAGGACCCCACTGGAAATAAATCTTCTTCTAGACCTTCGTGGGCTATCCTTGGTGTTTACACCGAATAAATCCAATCCAATCCAAGCAAGTGAAAAAAGGACTTTTTAAGAACTGAATGTCAAATAATATATATCTGCAATTCGCTGTAATGTCTAAATTTTCTGTGAGATTGTCAAAGATGTTTGATTTGATTTGAATTTATATATACAATTCTCTGTCATATCTTTGTTGTTGGATTTTCAAAGATGTGTGGAAAAACCAAGAAATAAAAGAAGTACTTGAATTAACATAGGTTTTTGCAAAAATACCAAAACAACAAATTGCTTTAATTCTAATTGGAAAATGAATGAGATTTGTGGATTAAAAGTCTAAAAATGAAAATTGGTTGATTTCACTGGCCCTATTTCAGATAAGAATATCAAAAGGTCATAACTTAAAAACAGCTTTGAAATTAATGCTGAAATTTTGGATTCTTTCTTTTGACATACAGTATCATAGTATTTTAGATTTTTTTAAGGGAAAACCAAAGGGGGTGCAATTGCAGGGGAGCTTTGAAAATCCTTGTTGATTTTAACTGGAATGACACAGTAGCTTAATCTTTAGTATATTTTCCACTTGTTTTAGCTTAAACAGATTGAGGAGAAGATATTTTTGTCATTGAAAAATACTCCTTATCAACGTCATGTTGTTACAAAACTGTTTGCCGTTGAAAACAGTTTAGATGAAGACAGTGGAATTTCAGAACTTAGAAGTCACTTGGAAGAGGTTTGCCTTGCTGAGCCCTACATGGATTTTCTTACCCCAGTAACCTGGCTGAAATTGCTTGCAGATCTAGAGGAGAAGCGAAATGAAGGAAAGCACTGTCTTAAGCTAGAAGAGGTGAATACAATTTTATTGTGTCATTATAGTTTAGTGCACAGGTGGGCAAAGTGCGGACCGCCTGTGATTTATTTGCGGCCCGCGAAAATGAATTGCAAACTCTATGTGTGTTGAAGAGACTATTAGAGATGCCAACTATTACAATTTTTGGGTAATGATTATGATTTTTTACCCCTGATTATGCTCTTACGATGTCCCAATAAATTATGACTATCTCAGTTTATTTCACCCAAAATAATTATTTGCTTGTTGAGAAAACTTCAACCTGGTAAAGTACATTATGCATTCACTAATCTTGGTCCTCATAGGAAAGAATAAAATTTTTGTTGGCATAAATGAAAACAAAATAACTGGCTTTAAATTATTCAACATCCCGTGTGTAGTGGTTTTGAACTTAATTCAATTGCGACCAACTAGTTAGGCATCGGACCATGTGCACTATTTTTTGGCAGTCACTATGTTTATGCAATTTATAAAACAGAATTACTAACACAGAAAAGCTGGTGTCTCACAATAATACTAAAATAATATTGAAAATGTATTAAGCTCTGGCATTCTTTTGAGAGAAAACGCTCATCGACAATAAAGTCAAATTATGAAATAATGTATATATGAATATATATATTTTCCCCTTAAATTATTAATTGAATGTTTTTTCTTTCTATATCGATATGAAATTAAAACATAAAGATGAAATGAATGAATTCTGTTGATAATTGTTAAGCTATGAAATATCTACTGTATAAATATAATAAATATAACAATATTTTTTAAGGTGAAGGCCTTGGCTGAGGAATGCAAAATCAAGGGAAGTATCCACATTGTTTTGAACTTCTTTCAAGATATCGGAGAGGTTGTTTATTTTGGGAGAGAGGAAGATCCTGACGGAAACCTTTTGAAAGAAAATATCATTCTGGATCCACAATGGCTGGTTGACTTGTTTAGAACTGTCATAACACACATAAATTTTGATGAGCAAGTAAGTTTAATTATTAAGTTTATTAATAATCTAAAGCCCCATCACACTGTAGGAAATAGAGCGAATGTATGCCGACGTTTATGAAAATTTTGGTTTACCTTCGTGTAAATTGACATTCATTTGTGACGCGTTCGTTATACGTTTGGCATACGTTGTATTCGTTAGCTGTTCGTGGGGTTACGCGGAGGTACGTAGCATGTGTGTGCACAGTACAGCAACAGTACACGTAGCGTTTTTCTGTCTGTGACGTCACAGCGGCTGCGAGTACCCTTCATTTCTACTCAGATCAGAAAATTTGAGCGTATCTGGACTTCGAGGGCCATTAAAAAGAAATCCTCTTAATAATGTGTGCGTGTTGAATATAAGGTCAAAGTAACAATAAATACAAACATTTCTAATATGCCAATTTCAAATACAAGTCTCCTCCAGTGAACACCCCTCCAATGAGTGGGGGTGGCAGTGTGGCATTTGCGAGCGGTAAGGCAGGGGCGCTGCCCGCTACAGCCTTAACATCGGCGCCGGTTCCAGCCACTCCTCGCACATGGTTCAGTTGGTAGAACCAAGTCTTCTCGGATAAGGACTTGAATTGATGTCCAGTGTTAACATCTGGCTTGTGTGCACTTTAATAAACCCATTGCATCCTTCGAAGGAGTAGGTGGTTACCCCGATGTTATGGTTCATTTCAGCCCCTGTTGTTGTGGAATGATGTGAACATGTATCTACCATGAAACGCCTATTTACGGCTGTTAGGTAGTCACAGACCAGGCCTATACGCAATTCAGCACAATGACGCTTCAAGTTCTGGGATTCTTCTACCTTTACATTACGATAAGTTTGATCGTCGCGAATTCATTTAATTTACAGTAATTCAAAACGTTCGATTTTCAGCTGTTTTCGCACATTTCTCTTCATAACTTTAATTCTACTTGTCCGATTTTCGCCATTGTTCTTTTATCCTATTCTAAATTAACAGTTTTAGTAATCTTAATTTTAACCCATAAGATTACCAAATCTCATCGGACTTTTTCATTTTGTAACCGTGGGTTTTCAAATTTTTTTGTGTAAAACCTACAGTTTTAGCAGAAATGTGGTGAACCACCCGAAGTTTTTTTGTAGTAGCTCCGCTGATATTGGGCTGAATTTCGGCATTGTTGTGGCAACATGTAGCTTTATTTATTACCTACAACATATGTAAAAATCAATTTGATTGGTTAATAAATGACGTCGGACTTGTTATTTTTTTAAGAATCAATCAGTAGCAAGTCAGATAGAGTATTTATTGTTTATTTGTTGATCCGCTAACGTTAGCGGATCACCTCTTGTTATTGTCAGGGATCATCTTTTTATTCTTCTTTCTTTCTCCCCTTTTCTGTTCGCACGATATCTCAAAACTGCCACGAGTTACGCACACGGTCGCTACATCGATCATTTTGCCTTCGCCTGGAATAGTCATGGTAAGGTTTTCAACGCGCTCAGTCATGCGTGACGTCATCTACGTGCAATTTTGCGTTTTTACATTATCGAT